CTTTTGCAGAATTGCCAACATGTTTTCCAACATAGCTGTACCATTTTATATTCCCATCAGCAAAACACAAAGGTTCCAATTACTCTATATGCTCACCAATATTTATTACTTGCCCTTTTATTATAGTCATCCTTATGGATGTGATCTGTTATCTCATTGTGATTTTAGATTGAATTTCCCTAATGATTAATGATGTTGAAAATCTTTTCATGGTTTAGTGGCCATTGTCATATCTTTTTGGGAAAATATCTATTCAAATCTTTTGCCCATTTTTTAAAATTTATTTTGTTGTTGTTGTTGAGAATAAGCACAGCAGAACATACATCAATTCAACAATTCCTACATATAAAATTCAGTGACATTGATTACATTCCTCAAGTTGTGTAACTATTCTCAGCTTCCTTACCCAAATTATTCCTCCCTCATTAACATAAACTCACTTCACCCTAAGTTTCCTACATAATCTTTCAGTTGCCATTGTCAATTTGATCCTATATAGATTATTCTTAGAATGTTCAAGGTGGATATTCTTTACTAGTTAAACTAAACTACTGATTGGTTTTTAGAAGACTTTGGATGATTTTTTTGGTTTAAAGTTTAAAGATTATCTTAAGCCATCCAGCCTCCATGACTCCAGAAAGTCTAGATTCCATTAAAATGTGAATTTCTGTTCAGCATTTTCCTCCCTTTTGATCTTCCATAATGGTTAAAAAAAGAAAAAGTTCAGTAATGCTAGCCAACTTTTGCCCATTTTTAATTGGGTTTTTTGTTTTTTTGCTATTGAGTTGTAAGAATTCTTTATATTTCCTGGATATAAATCTCTTGTCAGATATATGATTTGCAAATACTACACTAGTAAATACATCATTATACCTCTGCACCGGATTTTTTTTTTTTTTTTACCTAATCAAAGCTCTGGAGGCTCTGGTAGCATAGTGCCTAAGGCACTTGACTGTTAACCAGAAGGCTGGTGGTTTAAACCCACCAGCCACTCCTCAGAAGGAAGATGGAGCAATCTTCTTCTGTAGTGATACTGCCTCGGAAAACCATGGAGGGGTCGCTATGAGTCAGGTCCAACTCGACAGCACATAACAACAACAATCAAAGCTCCTTTATCACAAAACTAACAAAATTAACAATATCATTCTTTAGTATCATCTAATACTTGGTCTATATTCAGATTTCTCCTCTTACATAAATAATGGCTATTTATAGTAGGTCAATAAATTGCATTTTTTTGTGTGTGTCTCCTAATTCTTTTCGTATCTACAACCATACACCCCTAATTTTTCATGCCATTTATTTTTTGAAGAAACTGGGTTACTTGTCCTATATATATATTTTTTAAAAAAAAAAAAAAAAAACTTATTCTCGTCAAGTTGGTCCCGACTCATAGCAACCCCTCCTTAGGTTTCTGAGGTGGTATCTCTACAGAAGTGGATTGCCCAATCTTCCTTCCAAGGAATGGCTGGTGGGTTTGAACCACCAACCTGCTGGTTAGCAGTCAAATGCCTTAGGCACTATGCTACCAGAGTGCCTACTTGTCCTATAGGATGTTCTGTATTCTGAATCATATAACTTGTCCCATTGTCTTCTGTATTTCTGTAAGCTGATAGTTAAATCTGGACATTTGAATACATTCAGGCTTAATTATTTAAAAAAAAAAAAAAAAAAAAAACACCACACACCTCATAGATAGTGATGCATACTTCCTACTGCATCCACTGTGTCACATCAGGAAATATTTAATGTCTCATTATCCCACTTCTGGTGAGATTAAGATCAATTCATGGGCTCATGCGTTGCCAGGCTGATCCATCCATTATAAGAGCATTTAGAGTTTGTGAGGTAACTATTGCTCACTCTTTTAAGACCCTTTTGAGTTTGGATCTAATTGGGAAAAAAACAGAGGAATCAGAAAGCTTAATAGAGAGAAAGCTAATTGGGAAAATGTTAACCAAACAGTACCCCTGATATGTTCTGTGACCAAACTTAATGCCTCAATCATAGACAGAGCAGGGCAACAGCACAACTCCTCTTGGAGCAGGCCAGCTGGGGCACAGAGAAGAGAAGGATGAGCAGATGAGCAGGTTACTCGGAAAAGAATACCCAGCATTTTGTGTTCCTCTTCCCAAACTCACCAATCAGATAAGTCATTCCTCCTCCCATGGCAAGGCAGGCATGTGTAAGAAAACAACCTAAAGCCTGCAATAGTCCTCTAAATGTTCTCTTCAGCAGATGGGAATGAACGTCCCATCTCCTTTGTGAAAACATAACAAGTCCATGACATGCATGCCCCCATCATGAAGTACTGCTTATCCAATATCCCTTACTGTAATCACAATAATCAATTGATGTAGATGTGACTATTCTCATTTTGCAGACAAGGAAATGAAGTCCCAGAGGGTTAAATGATGTACCCAGTATAACACAGCTAATACATGATAGAGCAGTATTTAAATTTGTGACAGTTTTTAATGACTTGACTACATTGCCTCTCCAAGACCATTGAGTACATTACTCCTCTGAGTAGGAGACTAAGGGGAAAGAGCAACAGGGAGAGATATAGAGAACACACTATGTTGGAAATTTAACTCTGCAAGTCAGCAGCTTACAGAGTATGGTAGAAGCCACGGGAGTAGATAAGATCACTCAGGGAGAGTATAGAGAACAAGAAGAGAAGACAGAACTCCCTCATAGAATATAACCAGTAGTAGACAGAGGAGCGGACCCACAAAAGAGACTGAGAAGGTACAGCCAAAGAGGTAAGAAAAGACCAAAGGGAGGAGAGAGAGGTCAGCAGTGTCAGAGAATGCAGGGAGCTCTAGTAAGATAAAGACTAGAAATAGGTCCTCAGGGTCCTGGGAAAGGCCATTTGGTGCGGGAGTGGGCCAGTTTGGAATGTGTTGAGATTTTATAGACTTTCTTGCCAAAAAAAAAAAAAAAAAATGACTTTGAATGGAAGAGAAAGAGGTGGCTCAGTGGGGCTGGGACAGACAATGGATTCTCTAGTTACCTTGGAATAGAATACTTCTGAAAATGCCTAAAATATTTGTGGATTGAATTGTGTCCCCCCCCCCCCAAATAGGAGCTTATGAAGCTCTGGTAGCATAGCACCTAAGGCACTTGAGTGCTAACCAGAAGCCTGGCGGTTCAAACCCACCAGCCACTCCTCAGAAGGAAGATGGGGCAATCTACTTCCATAGTGATACTGCCTAGGAAACCCAAGGAGGGGTCGCTATGAGTAGGGTCCGACTCGATGGCAAACAACAACAACAACAAATAGCAGCAAAACAACAACAAATATGTTGTAAATCTTAACCCCTACACCCTTGGTTATAATCCCATTTTGGTCATGGGTTTTCTCTGTTGTTAATGAGACAGTGTTAGTGTGGGATGTGTATCAAATCAATCTCTTTTGAGATATGAAAGAGATTAAGCAAGTGACCAAGCAGAGATGGGGGAAGGGAGATACATGCCAAGCCACATGAAGACCAACCAGGAGCAGAAGCTCAAAGAGACGAGGACCTTTCTCCAGAGCCAACAGACAGAAGAAGGCTTCCCCTAGAGTTGGCACTCTGAATTTGGACTTCTAACCTCCTAAACAGTGAGAAAATAAATTTCTGTTTGTTAAAACCATCTGCTTGTGGTATTTCTGTTATAGTGCCTAAGGCATTTGACAGCTAACCAGAAGGCTGGTGGCTCAAACCCACCAGCCACTCCTCGGAAGGAAGGTTGGGCAATCTACTTCCATAGTGATACTGCATCGGAAACCCAAGGAGGGGTCGCTATGAGTCAAAATCGACTCCATGGCAGTGAGTTTAGTTTTTGGTTTTTGATTTAGATAACTAGGGAAGATTATTAGATTTTAGGTCGAAAATCTAGAGCAAAAAATGTCTTCCAGAGGGCAAATTGTGGACACTGTAAGCAGAAGTAAGAAAGTGCAAACAATCTAAAATTATTTTGTTGCCTATAAAACTTAATTATTGGAAACAACCCAAATTTTGATCAGTAAGATAATTTTTTAAATTGTGGTATAATCTTACAGTTCTCTTTCCTTTCTGCCCTGCTGCCTCCATTCTGGCTACTGGCTCCCGGTTATTTTAGTTTGTACGTAACTTGATTCTGCTTCTATATGAACTGGAAGCAACACCCTCCTGCCTTAGCAAAATGTTGAGGAAAAAAAAATGGGCTTTGGCATTAGATGTAGTGGGTTTCAGTCTTGTCTTCACCATTTACTCACAATCTCCTCCTTTGTAAAATGGCAATAGGCTGCTATGGGGCCAAAACGGTTCGCACTACGTTAAGGTTAAGTTAGGCTAGCAATGAAATCTATCCAGCAGAGAAAGAAGGGCCTGACAATGTATTAGTGTTCATTACAGCCATTGAAAACCTTACGCAGCACTGCTCTACTCTGAAACAAGTGGGATCACCATGAGGGGGAATCCACTCAACAGCAACCGGTAAAATGGTGACAACACCTACTTTGTGTTAGTTTAACAAAATACGGTGTTTCCTCCATGATACACACTCTTCTAAACTTCATATATTAACACATTTAATTCTCCCAACACCCCTACGAACTAGATGCTATTATAATCATCTTCACTTTTTAATAAAGAAACTGACACACAGAGAAGTTAAGTAACTTGTCACGATCATTCAGCTGGTGAGTGGAGGAGTGGCATTGAGCTGGCACTTGAATGCCCACAGTCTGGCTGCAGAGCCTGTGTGGTACTGCATGAAACGAACCCATTCCTGGACCTGACACACAATGGAAATGCTGCCCATGGTGGCTGCAGTACCTACAGCGTTCGACAGTGGCATTTGGTCTTCCAAAAGCTCTGACTTCACGGTGACCTGTGAGGTTCTAAGGGCATCCCTAGGAATCCTGCTGGGGACCCCACCCAGGAATCCTGAGGGTAGTCGGAGGGAGGTGCCAGATTCCCGCAACCGCCTCAGGAGGGCGCTGCCGCCCTTCCTCGCCACTGGCTCGCTGCTAGCGGTCCCCGCGGCAGGGCACGCTGGCTGCAAGATGTCTGTGAGCGGCGGCCAGCGGCTGGCGCGGGCCGGGCCCGGACTCTCCTGGCTACTGTGCTGCAGCGCCCTGCTATCCTCGGCTGCGGGGTACGTGATCGTGAGTTCAGTGTCCTGGGCCGTCACTAACGAGGTAGACGAGGAGCTGGACAGCGCCTCCACCGAGGAGGCGCTGCCCGCGTTGCTGGAAGACTCTAGCAGCATCTGGCAGCAGAGCTTCCCGGCCTCGGCGCACAAGGAGGACGCGCACCTGCGGCCCCGGGCCACCGCCAGCCGCCCCCGGCCGCCCCCCGCCCCGCCCGGCATGTTCTCCTACCGGCGCGAGGGCGTTAAGGCAGCTGGCGCCCCGCCCGCCCAGAGCCTGCGCCCGGGGACGGCCCGCTTTCTGGCCCACTCCAACGGCTGGGGCTGTCTGGCCACAGTGTCCGCCCAGGAGAAGGTAAGCCATCCTCGTGCCAGGATGGGGATTCTCTCTTGCAATGCCGGACGGACAGCAGGCTGCAGGTGTCTGCCTCTCAGTGGCCTGGAAATCAGGCGGTGTGGACATGAGGCAGGAGATACTAGCAATCACTCACGCACTCTCATCCTGGTCAAAAGACGTGCCAGCGGACTAGACTGGAGCCCACCGGGCATTTACACAGTATAAATAATGGAGCCAGATTATACTTGCTTAGCCTGGCGAAGTAGAGGGTGGGGAGGCAACTGAAAATCAGGCTTCTTGTCAGGTGTTAGGGCTATCTTGTGATGGCCAGTCAGACAAACATACAAATGAGCAGCGCCTGACCAGAGACCTGGACAAAGGGAACCAGAGCTGCTTTTGGAATTGGAGAGAAGATACATAGCTCCTCCCAGCTCACAGCACTATCCAATTGACCCCAAACTTCCCCCTTGCCTACCAACATGTAACTAAGGGAGAGACACCGCCACCAGAACCTGTGTGGAAATTTACAGGGTTAAAAATTGAACTCAATTTTTCTGGAGAGGAGGTGTATTATGAACAGTGTGTACACGCTGGAATGAGCTGCTATCAGCTGCAATTTTAATTGTGAAGTACACAAATGTACTCACCTGTTAGATATGATTCCATCTTGTGCTGAAATAACATGAATAAATTATGAGGATGTAACTGCCATAAATATACATCTTCCAGAAGCTTCTGAAGCTGTTAAGGTAGACATAAGGGTTTCATTACAGGGCAGTAATTTGAACTGCTATTTACTTTGTGCAAATGATAATAATTTGTAGAATATACAGGATATTGGTTAGGGAGCAGGTTCTCTCTCCCAGCTCTGTGTCTCTCTCCCAGCTCTGTGTCTCTCTCACCAGCTCTGAGGCTGTGGCTTTCTCCACTTTGCTTTCCTCATCTATAGAATTAAGTGGTCAACTAGATAGCTTTGAATGTCTTTTCTTTTTCTTTGGTCTAAAAATTATCTAAATAATAACTGATTCTGATAATGGCAATGCTCTTCACCTTTTTTTGTGTCAGATTCAGTTGCCAGTTGGATATTCACAATATTCAAATGATTTTTCACAGTTACATCTGATGCCCCTAAAACACACCATAAGAAGATATGAAGTTTAAATATCTTGGTTTAAAGCACAAATCTTTGAGCAGTTTTAAGTTGCTATAAGTGTATTAAAAGAAATGCACTTTCACTTCTGATATCACTTTCACTCATTTTGTTATAACTTTCTGTTTCCAAAATCGATGTTTAATCTAAATTCAATAAATTCAGAAAATATTTACCAAATGCCTACCATGTGTGCAAAGCATGACTCTGGATACTTTATGACAAGGTGAGAAACAGAACCTGTGACTGAAGTTAAGCTACCATTCTAAATGACTCCTTATCATTTTGTTTTCTAAAAAGTTGTTTTGAAAATGTAAAGGCCTCCCTTACCCCAATTCTCCACACCTTTGCCATACAGTACTTCAAAGACAAAGACAGCCACTGATTCTGAGCTAAGTATCAGTGACCCATGTTCTATAAGGGATAAAACTCATGGAAGATTGGGAGGCTTTCAACAGCAGGATTTGGGAAAAACTAAGACAAAAAAAATTGTGTATGTCTGAGAACTTCAACCACCCTGATGGATGAGCATGGGGGAAAAAAAATTCTGTGATTTCCTTTATGGTAAAATAGAACAAATCAATTTCTCATAACTTCCTGAGTCCTAAAATGACATATTATTGATTACAACTTAAAAAAAGAAAACTCACTGCCATCAAGTCCGTTCCTACTTAGAGCAACCCTGTTTGGGTTTCCGAGGTGGAAAATCTTTACAGAAGTAGATTGCCCTGTCTTCCTTTCCCAGAGTGGCTGGAGGATTTGAACCACCAACCTTTTGGTAAGCAGTCAAATAAATGCCTTAGGCACTATGCCACAACTTAAAAAGCGATTAGTAAATGAGAAGGTGGTTTGGCCCTAAAAGTAACAATAACAGAAAGCTCTTGGAGTCCAAAAACCAGCTAAGATATTAAAGTTAAGACTTCCTGAAGATGCCAAAAAACTGAGGAAGGCAGTGAAGGCAGTAGAACACCAATGGGCCTTGTGCCGGCTTTAACACTCCTCCATAAATTTCATTGGCCCTCCCCCAAAATAGCACTAAATTTAATAAGATGAATGTTGTCCAAATCATCGTGATGCCATGCTCTCTCATGTCCTTGGTGTTATTTATGTTTCTTGGCTGGAGACACAAACGAAGCTCTCAGCAGAATTCAACTCACACCTCTGCTTTGACAAAGCCTTCTTTGGTGTTTGTTAGATCCGGGGACTACCTTTTGGGAACTGCCTTCCCATCAGCGATGGCCCCATCAACAACAGCACTGGGATTCCTTTCTTCTACTTGACACCCAAGGACCCCGCTGTGGCTGATCTGGTGAAGAACCCCATGGCCTCCCTGACACTACTGGAATCGGAGGGAGAGTTCTGCAGGTAGACCTCTCACGTGGCTTGTACTCACTCTCATATAGACCCCAGGAAGTTTTGGGTAGAGAAGCAGGGGGATGGGCCCCTCTCTGGCTCATATGGCTTTAACAGAACCCCAAAGTTTTTAAAACTGAGATGTAAATGGGTATCTTCACTAACTTGAAGTGAGAAAAATATATGCTTGGATTCAGAGAACTATAATTCCATCACTCACCAAGCTGTGAGATTAGGGGGAAGTTACAGACTCTGTGAGTCTGTTTCCTTATCTGTAAAATGGGAGGAATAGTTTCTACCTCAGAGGGTTATTGTGAGGAATAGAAGAAATATGTGCAAAATATGTGCCTTGAGTGGGTAGCGTATACCTAGGTGGGTAAATGGCAGCTCTAGTCATGAAAAAGAGCAGAGAAGGGTTTGGTGAAGGAGGAGCCAGTAGTTCTTCTCTGCAGCAAATGCAGCATGGGGGTCTATTTATTGTTTTTCAAATGAATTTCTATTACACCCTGAGAGATGTGTACAATAAGGACCCTGAACCCTTTTCCGCACTTTCTCAAAAACTCTACAAGAACAGACTTCTAAAGATATTTAAGCACAAAGAGAACGCTGATCCTGAGACCTTCATGTGAATTCAAAATGCACCGCTTGAAATTAAATTCTACCAGTGAGATGCCTGCACCAGGCTGGTGTGGGGGCTGCATGTGGGGGATCAGCTAGGGGAATGGGACATCAGCAGGGTGGTCTTGAGACACTCAACCTGTGGAGCCTCTGCCACTCCATCTGTAAAAGGTAGGGATGCTTTAGAAAACCAGTAAAACTCATTCCGGCTCTGAAATTCCATTATTCTTTATACAAGGCATGAAAAACATAACTAAGCAAATTTGTAATTTCTTATGGAGGATAATCAAAGGAATAATAAATAGTAAGCTATGAACTGGATAAGACCTTGTTGATCCCAGGCTTATTTACTCTGGGGATGCTGGCAGACACCAGCAATAAGAGACTTGGCTGAGTCAAGCCGGAGACACTTCCTCTGACCCAGTTTCCCGTCAGGTTATGGCAAGAAGCCAGGATAAGCAATGTTTCCTTTTTCATGGACTATTCTCTTGGTCCATCAAGCTGTTACTAGAAGTATATTCCCATGATATCTTTCTAAACTTCTCAGGTGTTTTTCTACCTCAGGTAGCTGCACACCTACATGCATGTAGTGAAAGCAATCGTTGTGCCATGGCATGGTGATCCCAGAACACAGAACACACCTGCTCCAGAAGACAGGCAAGATAATATAGATAAACGAATAAGCTCAGGTGATGGAAGGGCATTGTCTATTAGTAGGCACCAGGCAGAAATCAGCATTGACAGGGAGGCGCTAAAGGCTGAGTGTCCTGATAAATTCCACTGAGGAGAGGTCCTCACAGCCAGCCTGGTTGCAGGAGGCCTTCCTTCAGCCCCCTCAATAGCCAGGTTGACCTGCCTCTGTGGCCTTGAGCCATGTGTGCAGATATTCCTTATGGCCAGCCATTCGTAGAAAGTACAGATGTCTATGCAGTAGGTGGATGAGGTGAATGAGGCTGCTCATGGCCAGGAATGACTACCCCCAAGCCCTGCTCAGCTACCTAAGGGCTGCAGAGGGTGTCGGTATCTCAGCCTACCTGTAGCACTGGCCTGGGAGAGGAGAATGGGCCACTGCCATTGGTACCTCTATGTCTACATCCTGATGTAGAATTCCTCTTCCCCAGAACTGCTACCCTGTCACAATGTTTGAGCTTCAGTGCCTAAGGCATTTGACTGCTAACCAGAAGGCTGGCGGTTCAAACCCACCATCCACTCCTTGAAAGGAAGACTGGGCAATCTACTTCAGTAAGGATACTGGCTTGGAAACCCAAGGAGGGTTTGCTATGAGTCAGGATTGACTTGACGGCAGTGAGTTTGGTTTTGGTTGGTTGTTTTTGTTTGTTTGTTTGTTTTTGGTTGGTTGTTGTTTTTTTTTTTTTAGTTTAAATAAATATCTACAAAACTTAGTTTAACCCCAATAGGCAACCTGCTTCACAGCAAAAGTTATGAAACAATGAGGTCGTTGCTGTCAACCCAGAGCTAATACAGTTGCTCTGCTATTTCCCATGAACTGCTTAAGTGCAAGCTTGATTCATCTGGGTGAGATTCACTTTCCAAGTCCAACATTAAATTTTAGGTTTTGCCTCCACAGTCCTGGTAATGTTGAACACAGGGCCTTCACAAGTCAAAGCCATCCATCAGCACTGGAAGAAAGAGATACTGGGGCCCTGAATGCACCAGCCAAGCAAGGGGTTCCTAGGATCACCAGAGCATAACAAAGCATCTGGTTGAAGTTCCCATGGCAAAGGGCTGTCCTGACAAGCACTTCATGTGAAGTTGGGAAAGACAGCCTGGCAAAGCACCAACCTGCTGCCCCTCCTACCTGAGCCCATGGACTGAAGAGAGCCACCAGCAAAACCAGATTCATTTTCCTAGGCTTCAGAGCATTTCCCACAGAGCAAGGGGATCCAGACAACACTCATATGTCATGATGATGACAATAAATCAAGGCTACTTCATCCTTTCATCTTCAGAAGTCAGGCTTGTACTCAGAAAAATGAAAATTGCATTCATTCTTGAAGCAGGTTCCCTTGAAAGCTCCTGGCAATAGCACTTTTATCATCTCATTTGGAGCATTCTGCATACTTCTAACATTTTGTTGGTGCTATTCAGCTATAGAAGGGGTAGATCTTCCCTGTTTCATCATTGGTGGGCAGAAAAGGCCAGGACTGGACCTTTCTACAGGATGCATTCCCAGGACTCCATGGACCTAGGGGGCATGCTAGGGCTGCAGAGCCCTTAAAAGCTGAACAATAATATGGAGTGCTCCATGCAGTCTCTTCAGCAAAGACAGGCAGGGAGAAAGTAGTGTCACCACTAAGGCTCTGAGCAAAGGAAAGGGACTGCTGCAGAGCCATCTCCTTTCCCCCTCCTGTAGCCCCTGGAGAGGAGGCAGTTCAGCTGCAAGATTTCCTCCTATTGACCAGGTGCTTAGCCCTGTTCCTGCAGACAAGGCAGGAGGAGGCAGCCATCCAAGGAGAATTCAGGCGGGGAGGGGGAGGGGGATGCAAGTCTAGCCGAGGAAGCAGCTGTTGCTACTACTAGGACATTTGGTATAAACGACAATTGATAGGTAATGTGTATGTGTTTAAGAAGCAGACAGTGTCCACAACCAAACCAGGACCTACAAACGTGTCTTCCCTTATAATTGATAGTTAATTTAAAGTCCATTTTTGCTGTTATTCTGTTTACTTCATAGTGCCTTCATTTAATTACTTAGATGAATTAGGTGTGGGACTCTATTTCCCAGGTCAGAATAAGAAGACAAATTGAGAATAAGATTCCAGTTTAATAGATTCACTTGCAATTAAGCATCCTCTCCTCTCTTCATTTTCTTCTCCCTTCAGCACACATGGAGTCCCTGGGTGGTGCAAGCAAATAGCATGCTAGGCTATTAAACCAAAGGTTGGAAGTTTGAGTCCACCCAGAGGTACCTCAGGGGACAGGTCTACAGTCTATTTCCAAAATCTCAGCCATTGAAAACCCTGTGGAGCACAGTTCTACTCTGACACGCATGAGGTCCAACTTTGAGTTGGAATTGACTCCACAGCAACTATTTGTTTTGGGTTTTTTTTTGTGGGGAGGAGAGGTGGAGTTCCACATACATGATCATGTACACATGCCTCTGCAAATAAATGACTTTATGCTCAGGCCAGAAAACTCCGTTGTTTGGAAATTCAATAAATATTGACTGACAAAGCGAACCCACCCAAGAAATTCATCTGCTGTTGTAAAATCTTTTCTTGTGGAGCATGTAGGCTTGAATGCCATCAGTTTTAGTTTGCTTCTTTATAGTGAGCCAATGCAAGTGCTCAGGACCCATGGAGGACTCTTCAAATAGTCTGCTTGATGGCATTGGATCAGTTCTCATTTTGAAGATCAGGATGTCCTGAGGAAAGCGAAGGGCATTTATGAGATGCTTTTTCTGAAGTGAAAAATTATCTTTGATAGTTTGGACAGATGCTAGATTCCTCAGTAGACCAAGTTCACTATTGAGAAAATTGGCCATAAAAACACTTTTTCCCCTTTTCCCAAAAATGCTTTCAATGAAAGATTGCTATGGATCAGGGCTCCTTTTCATTCCCCTGTGTTGAAGATGTGTCTGCCCTACCTATGGACAATGGCTCTTGTTAGAGCTTTAACTGACCAGACTTTGGTGTGGTTTGGAGACTGTGGCAGTGCAAAGTGTTAACATGCTCAGCTGCTAACTGAAAGGTTGGGGGTTGGAATCCACCCAGAGGCTCCTCAGAAGAAAAACCTGGCAATCTACTTCCAAAATATCAGCCATTGAGAACCTATGGAGCACATTCTAATCAAACACACATGGGATCACCATGAGTCAGTATCAATGGCAACTGGTTATTGGTTGGTGTGATTTAACATCAGAGGAGATGCAAAGATTCTAGTCTGCAAAAGAATTTAGTTTCCAGGGGGAGATGCCAAACCAAGAATAGGTTGGAGTCAAGTGGGTATATAAAATATAGAATGGAAGACTTTCAGGAATGATGATCCCTCAAAATGACTTGCTTGAGGGGTAAATATTGCAGAGGTAATTTAACACACAATAAAAAAGTATTGCTTCCACTAGAGCATTTGGGACAATTTGCTTGGACATAGATGTGATTCCTACCCTATTTCCGTGAGCAGCCCTGCATTTTGTGAGCATGTAGGAAGGGGGAAGAACTCCTTCAGTGAAAGGGGAGGGTGGTGTGATTGGACAATGAAGGAAGGGAGACACTTCTTTATGCAGTGGCAAAGAACTTTTCCTAATTATTTAAAATATTTGGTGGAAGGTAGAACTCGAAGGTAATGAATTTGCATATCTGGCTGATGAGATTTCTATGCAAGATCTTAAAGAGGATGCATGGTGTCTCCTTACCATTTATAGTAAAAAAAAA